AAAAAGTCCATCAAAACGGTGGCAAAGTATGTATAGGTCACCAGGGTCGCCAAACACCATCAGCGCCCAACTCATATCGCTGTCCGTTGCGGTCAGTCTCGTATCGGCCGACACTGTTAGCTCTCAGACCCCGAAACTCAGGTATAAAATCTGGCGGTAATTGAGATGTGGAGGTAGACGTGGAATCCATGGGTCGGTGCCTGGGCTCGGGTGTTGTGGGAGGGGAGACGGTATGAGTGCTGGAATTGCTGGATGTGCTCGATATGGATGACGAGTAATTCCTGGTGTGCTGGATGACGCTGAATGTGTTCTGGTTCAAAATATTTTGATCGTAGTACCTGTCGATGTCTATGTTATGCATGTTATGGTTATCTACCGATGCGTCGGGTCGTTGGGCATCGGCATCATCGGCCACCACATCATTGTGTGTCAGCTCGAGTCGGCAGAAGTCGAGGTGTGTTAACAGCTTCTGCGATATCTGATTGCGATCTGGGGTGTCGGTGCCGTTGTTGGCGTTGTGGTTGAGTTTGTCCGAAAAGGGCAGACATTTCATGAAGTGTTGCACTTGTTTGAGGCACTCATCGAAGCCGGCGTTAAACGACTGTTTGGTTACATTGCGATCCATTTGTTGCTTGAAATGCATGTTTTGCAAGTACTCGACCGTCAGCTCCAGTATATCTGCCTTTTCGTACTTACACTTTGGGTTCTGTTCAAAGCAATTCAATTCACACTTTAGTATATGTATTGATAATTAGGAATATTTTATTAAAACATTTGATTAATGCATTCATATATTGAATTGAAGTATACGAGTGAGACATACCTGTATGTTATGTCTACCGGAATCAATGATCATTTCCTTGAGTTGCATCAAACAGAGGTTGATCCTCGCCCTCCGGCGCTTCTCGATCAACGGCTTTGTCAGCCGTTCTATCGACAAATATCGGCCTGTCAGCCCAACCAGGAGTTTTATAAAATAGTAAATTATCTAAAAGCTATGCAAATAAACTGAAGTTACCATCCTTAGCGGCTTTTTAGAGTTAGTCTTTTATGACTTAATTCTCCAATCGAGAGTCAGAAACGATGGCTTGAATTGCTTTAGTAAACAACGGAAAGAGAGAATGAGTTATCTCTGAAGAAATTAGTTAATACTCTGATGTAAACAAAACTGTTTACTAAAACACAAGTTATAGTAATTAAGAGATTGAATATAAGTCTCTTATTACGACAAATACAGCAATAAATGTATGGTTCGAGAGCTCTGTCTGTTTCGTACGCGAGTATCGTACGAATGATTCAATACATCAAAGCGTTTAAACACTTATAATAAATGATATGATGTTATGATATCTATTCTGTGAACTGTTTCCACACCACATATACACAGCCAGAGAATGCTATCTCTAAATACACTGTTTTTATCTCAAACTCCTCCTAAAAGTATTTCAGCTACTCTTCCCTCGCTCTCATCCAATGCCTCTCTGGTCTCCGCAAACTGATAGCTGTTTATAGCCGGACAGTCGGGTTGGTCCTCAAAATATTTTATCATTTAATAGATTTTCGATACGTTTATTTGACTTCAATGGTAGGAATCGCCGAAAAATCTCAATCAGAAAATACTGAATATATTCTCCAATTGAGAGTCAGAAACGATGACTTGAATTGCTTTAGTAAACAACGGAAAGAGAGAATGAGTTATCTCTAAAGAAATTAGTTAATACTCTGATGTAAACAAAACTGTTTACTAAAACACAAGTTATAGTAATTAAGAGATTGAATATAAGTCTCTTATTACGACAAATACAGCAATAAATGTATGGATTGAGAGCTCTGTCTGTTTCGTACGCGAGTTGAGTACGAATGATTCAATACATCAAAGCGTTTAAACACTTATAATAAATGATATGATGTTATGATATCTATTCTGTGAACTGTTTGCACACCACATATACACAGCCAGAGAATGCTATCTCTAAATACACTGTTTTTATCTCAAACTCCTCCTAAAAGTATTTCAGCTACTCTTCCCTCGCTCTCATCCAATGCCTCTCTGGTCTCCGCAAACTCACACCACATATACACAGCCAGAGAATGCTATCTCTAAATACACTGTTTTTATCTCAAACTCCTCCTAAAAGTATTTCAGCTACTCTTCCCTCGCTCTCATCCAATGGGAGAGACCAGAGGCGTTTGTCGATAGACACGCGAGTACACTCTCGTGAGATAGTGAAGGTGAGGTGAGCGAGAGTGTGAGGTATGGTTTGTGTGTCAAAGAATAGCCTATAGTATAATAATAAAGAGATTTTTTAAGCCTAAAAACTATGGCATATTTCAGTCACTACTCGTTGGCCTCCGTGTGTGGTTCTGCTCTGGTCTCTAATGCCATACATTTGAGTTGAGATTATTATTTTTGAATTCACTTTTTAAAATGAGCTCTTTCTTAATGCTTTAGTTATTATGATTACATTGTATGCTCTCTAGAGAGTGTAATATTTCATTTGCTTATGTATTACAGAAATCTGTATATCAATCGCTACAGAAACTTTCACTAATGACTCGGCAATCGGTCCATAATTACGATTGACTCGCAAAACAATGAAAAGTAAATGACTTTCTTTGCCAAACATTATTTAATAATAACTGTTATGACAATTGAAAAAATATGAGCAATTTTAGAGCAAAAGCAATAATTTTTTGACTAATATTGAGAGAAAATTGCTTTATTTAGACTCAAATGTTTTCAACTTCTAAACTAATATTCTGAGGGCTTTTTGTTTTATGACATTTCTCAATGTTTGGCCAAAATATTGGCAATGAATGTATAATTATTGTCATTCCCTCTCATAAACATCGGTATAATTATACGAATTAACCGACAAATGATTTATTCGCCACAAACTGTCTTTCCTTTGCTTATAATTCAATTACTTTTTTACGAAAAACTAAACAATTTTCTTAAAAACAAAAATATTTGACTTAAAATTTAATGGCAAACACTATCACAAAGTGTCCGCAGATTTGTAAGAGAGAGACCCCCGACTTTTTAATTGCCAGTGCTATATGTCTGTCACAGTTTGATAAGATTTATTTAAAGTATACTTTTTTTATTATATGAGTCGGAATTTTTGAGTAATATTCTGTGAGTGCACTGATAGCCTAGCAAATAGAAACAGGTGTTCCCGCAATAGGCGACCGATCACTACTCGCATCTCAATATATATTTGCCCAGCAATTGAAATCAACTTCACATTTAATCTCTTGAAAAAAGATTTAGTGCTAATAGAGGCTATGGGACTATGGGGTCATTCAATGATACGTACGCTTGAAAATTGTTAAAACGGCGACACCCTCTCCGTTATAGTCTTGTGCCTACATTCCGGTGCCGTCTCTCTCTCTCTCTCTCTCTCTCTCATTAGCCGCGAACGGCACATACCTTCCGAAGAGTACTCTTTAAACGTTGTTTGGTTTTGTGTTTTAATGTTTGCACATAACATACCTGTGCGCTCGCACTTTAATTATAATGAGTCAATCAGATAGCTATCTGGAAAGGCATGGCCAACAAAAAGGGTATGACTTAATAATTGGTTTGCAAACTAAGCGAAAGGTAACATTTGTTTGCAAAATATTGCTTAAAATTATAAGTTTTGAGTTTATATTACACTATATTTTTAACTCATAAATATCGGAGGAGTCGTAAAAATCTGCTGCCATTCCCGTCAGTGTCAGTGCGTTGAGTGAATTGAATTTAAATTATCAATTTACTTTTGTGCATGATACTTATTTTTGGGCAAAAGTATTTTTATTTTGCTTTTCATTTGACGAGAAATATTGAAAGAAATAAAACTAAATTTCTTTCACTTTAGTTTTACTATTAGATAGACTTTTGTCGGGAAAGGTATTCAATGAAAAGTATTTTAACTTCTCATTGATATACAGAATAGATATTCAAGTATTTCATATAAAAAGATAGCATTAAATCAATTGTAAAGAAATAAATAGCTTTCGATTTCGAGATAATATAAAGCATAAAGTAAATCAAACTTTCCATTTAAAGTACATTATAATATCCACACACACTATACTGTATAATGGATGATATACTCTAGGAACATTTAGTTCATTGTATTTGTTAACAACAACTTTCTCTCCACAAGATTTCACTTTAGAGATCACTTCACATATAAAACTCTCTCTATTTTTATATTCAATTTTCATTTCTGTTGACCGAAATCGCGATTCAAAACAACTCGTGGATCCTTACTGTAAGCGCCGACACATACAATGGTTGTGCGAGTTATCTAAAAAAGTGGGTAAAAATTTTTGTCAATCGATGCGAACATAATTTGCATGCAATTGAGACACCGGTGCATCGTAGGTCTGACGGACAGGTATGCACACACGGAGTATAATTGAATTTAATTTTTGTTCAATAGTACTGTTAGATGTTTTCAATGTCACCGGCCTTTTCACTGGACTTTCCTGTCTTTCTATTCAAACATGTGGTCACTTATGTCAGAGTCCATTAGGAGGTACAGTGCCTACCAGAGTTCAGGTGCATTTGAATTTACATAAAGTGAATTTAGACTTATTTTGTCGAGTGTTTTTCAATTTAAATCACAATAAAATAGAGATTTTTGCCAAAATATTTTCGACATAAAAGTGAGATTTATAAACAGCTAAACAATTTACTAATTTAAAAAATATACGTAAATGTGATTCATAATTATCTTATATACAAGCAATTAATGGTTGATTTAACAGTAGATTCTATGCAAACGTTATTATAAATGTAAGGAAATAACTTATTTTATAAAATTCAATTGAAATTCAATTTGGTGGTCGAGTCTTCGCCTCCTGAGTTATAAAAAGAGACAAAAATTAATTAAAAATTTCACCACAAAATCCTATCAATTACTTCGACGAGTTGTGGGAAATATTTGCAAAATGTCTTATCGTTCAGATTAAATGACCAGCTCTTGGCGGCCAACTCTCGCTGTTTGTCTATCTGTAGGGCGGGTGGTGTCCGGAGGATGTCTGTGTCCATACCGGAAAAGGGACCGCACTTGTCGTCCACCATAAAGCTGAATAAACTGATCAAAATGGTGGACACCGTATGACAGGGCGACCACTTCTCGGAGTGCATATCACTTATACCCGAAACACACAACTTATGGTTAGTCTTGAATTTGCCGGAAGGAGTTGTCATATAGATGGAGGGGCCCCTCAATGGGTACTCTTTGGGGAACACCAACTTTCCGTAATATATGCCCCCGTAGTAGGCGGTGTCCACCGGGCCTCGCAGCACATACACCCTAACCGTCATAATTATAGATCACGTAACGTGTTATTACACAAACATTTTAATATAGTATAGTAAACGAGAATTTTAATTAAAAATTATCTCTCGTTTTTAGGATCAATCAAACCATTCAAAGATGTTTTGCTCGATGGGATGAGCGAGGATATTGTCGACCGGGTCGGTCAACAGGTTCATGTAGTCCTTTTGCAGCCGTTTCACTGCCAACTCCTCCACTGCCATCACTTGCAATGATAACGAGTGTATTGTTTTGTATGAAAAAGTGTTGAATCACTTGATTATGAATGACAACCAAAACGTCGATTCCTGTGCACAACAATGGCTTGTATTGAAGTCATTATAAACGGACTCCACGTGTAGTTACTATGCATAGAGTGCCTGAATATTCAAAATATTATTCTTGTAGCTAATATTCAGAGACATTATAAACGCTACTTATTTCACATGAACACACATTTTGACCCCTTTTCTGAACTAAACCACAATATTTACCACTGGTTTGTATGTTTTGGTGACAGACCTGCCATTATCTCAAATATTGCATTCACTTCACAACACATCAAAGTCTATGATAATTAAATATGAGATAACACTTTACTCCATGTATTTAATTAATGTTTGCAAATACAGTACTAATAAATGCATAAATTTATCAATTGTTTGAATGGACTTAAGTAACTGGTACATTTCAAGTTGAAATTTTCAACTAGTAGTAATTTAATCGCTAAAACATTAGATATTAAATTCGTTATGACCCTGTCCATTTATATGCTCTTATGGGTTTAATTGATTGTTTGCATACTATTTACTAAAGTCTAGGGATTAATGAGAGCATCCGTAGTGAACAAAATAGCATTTTATGGACTTATATTTTGTGCCCCAAAAAACACTTAAAGTTTTTTAAGACATTTACAGAAACAAGAGTTGAGAGGAATGTTTGGATGTTTGGACACAAATACACAAATATTTCATCATTGCCAATATTTTGGCCAAACATTGAGAAATGTCATAAAACAAAAAGCCCTCAGAATATTAGTTTAGAAGTTGAAAACATTTGAGTCTAAATAAAGCAATTTTCTCTCAATATTAGTCAAAAAATGATTGCTTTTGCTCTAAAATTGCTCATATTTTTTCAATTGTCATAACAGTTATTATTAAATAATGTTTGGCAAAGAAAGTCATTTACTTTTCATTGTTTTGCGAGTCAATCGTAATTATGGGCCGATTGCCGAGTCATTAGTGAAAGTTTCTGTAGCGATTGATATACAGATTTCTATAATACATAAGCAAATGAAATATTACACTCTCTAGAGAGCATACAATGTAATCATAATAACTAAAGCATTAAGAAAGAGCTGATTTTAAAAAGTGAATTCAAAAATAATAATCTCAACTCAAATGTATAGCATTAGAGACCAGAGCAGAGCCACACACGGAGGCCAACGAGTAGTGACTGAAATATGCCATAGTTTTTGGGCTTAAAAAATGAGAAATAATAATATGATATCCGATAAGAAACTGTGTGTTTGGTATGGAGTGTGAGAGCGAGTGGAGTGGAAGTGATAGAGTGCTCTCACATGAGCGCACAGATAGCTGTTTGCGGAGACCAGAGAGG